TGTGAAGTAATTCAGAGGTAAGGCGACCAGCTCTACAATAGGTAAGGTATTTCAATACTGGCACATATCTCCTTTGGTTAAAATGCCAGTTAGGCATTACAGAAGTAGTTCTGGAAGGAGAGATTTCTTAGTTAGTTATTGTGTATTAATATAGACAAAGTCTGCCTAGTTCCAAAAGCCACAACAAAGTGGTTAAAAGTAGTTCCCCTTATTTGAAAAAAAAAAAAAAAAAAAAAAAAAAAAAAAAAAAAGCACAACCCCCACCTGATTCAAGATGCAAACATCCCTTTCTTTGCCAAGGACCTGCTATCAATTACTTATAATCCAAAACTGAGTTGGCTTTGCACAAATTACAAGCTCTGTCTTTGCATTTGTTATTTTCCTGAGTGATAAGTATCTGTCTGTACATGTAGCACATGTATGTTTGCACAGAGACATATTTACCTTTGCCTCTTAACCTGCTGTTGTTGCTAAATTTCACTTAGATGGCAAGCACTTAAAAACTGAATAATAATAATAATTCAACGTAGCTGGGTGTTATAAAAACAACCCTTTCAACTGCTGAAAAACTTACATTAGCAACTCCTTCACTACAGCAGGGAAAGTTGCCTTTCCATTAAAGGAGGCTTTCAGAAATGTCCGAGAAGAAGTGATGTGGAAATTTATCAGTCTTTCTCCAACCATTGTGACTGTAAAAGTCAAGAAATAGATGAGGACACTGTGTAACCCTCTCCCCACAGTCTCTTGTCTATCAAGGTTCCACAACTGTGCAGAACTTTTCCCTTTACATTATTTGTCAGTGTATGTGCCCCCACGTCTATTTTGGCAGTATGATATGCAGACAGGTAACACCAATTTGTTTCATCAATCATCCACTTTCAAAGTGCAGAGTACTTGTGCAGTTTCTAGCTGGGATTTTCACACACCAAATAGAGGATTTTGGTATTTCTTTGGGATACAAGAGAAACTTATCATGAACATCAGCTCAAGCATGAAGGAATATTCAGGAAGACCATTAAAGATTCAATGCATGCCATATCAGGGAGCAAGAAAGTTAACAGTCAGAATATCCTGGGAAGTCCTTTGCTACACAATACAGGAAAAAAAAAAAAAGGCAGTTTGTACCTCAGAAAATGAAAGTGCCTGAATCCACAAAGCTCTCTCAGAACAGAGGTTTATATATGGAGAAACAAAAGTAAAACCAAGGCTCAGCCTCTGTTACTCCTTACTATGCCCACTCTACAAGAGGGTGACCCTGTACTCACAAACCACACCTCCCCAGGATTGCTGGCTAACAAAGGCTGGCTTTACTTTTAATAACAATAGTGTCTCTCAAAGGCAGTCATGACAGAGGAAGTAAGCAGGTTCCTGTCTGAATTCAAGTCTCACAGGTCACTTCTCCCTTGCAAGTGGAGAAAGAAAAGACCTCAGTAAGCAGTATGAAGGTGAAGGAACACAGAGCCAAGAAAACAAAATTCAATTGCCTGCATAAGGAAACTGAGTAAATCAATATTGCAAGAGGAAGTGCTTTACATATCAAGCTGACAGCTTCTTTTGGAAAACCTAGCACTATAGGACTATGTCCAGAACTTCAGCACTTGATACCCACAAGAAGCAAAACTTGCTTTTGCTGGAAAACTACACAGTAAGTTTAACTTTACATCACTTAATGAGTGAAAAAAAGCAAATATATCAGTGCCTTAAAAGCAATATAAAAAAATTCTGTCTTCAAAGAATATTTGAGTATTTCTCTATCCCTGTCAAGATGCATTATCTCCTGTAAATAAAAACTGGTGATTTTACCATTTAGTCCGTATCAACTTCACTTTTATTTCCCTATTCCACCTTAAGAGTACTAAAAAAAGTCAGGAGCACAACAAGGAGCACAACGAAACTTATTAAAAATACAGCTTTATTATTTTTAACAATGAGTATCAGGACCAAAGGCAACTTTTTTGCTCAGCTTACATTCATTTCAGCCTACAACACATTTCAACTTGAGATTTTTTTTTGCTAACAGTTAAAAAACTTAACTACCAACATCGTGACTGTTCAGAAGCATTAACACCCTAAATCCTTTTTGACATCTTTACAATTAAAATTTGAAAGATGGTGTGATTATACAGCTTTGTCCACTAGCTTCAAGCTTTCCCTTGGTTTTATGCCAAGTGTCATACAGTGGATAAAAGCAAAGATAGAAAAATAAGCTAATTGCTTATTTCATGTTATTGCTGATTGCTTCATAGTACAGCAGTGCCACATTTGCCATTACTAGATACTTTATCAGTTAAGTCAAATATTAAAGGTGGTAAGATTATTGCCTAGTTACTTGTCCATCCTGCACCATTAAGGGCATTTCAGTTATTTAAAGAGCCAATCACACTGAAAAGTTATTCTTAAGAGTTACAATAAAATGTGTTTAATATTTCTTTCTGAAAACAACACAGGTATTACATGCAAAATTAATACACAGTGTTTTTAATCAGTTTGGTAGCACAAGGTTTTAAAAACCTGAAATTAATTTAATGTCAACTAAAGTATTTGTTGTTGCTGGTGCACTTAACTAGGAGAACCATGACTGTATGATTTCTAGCTAGCTGAAGTTCAGTTTTGGTGCTCCCTAAAAAACCAGCTGAGTTTTGCTAATTGCACTTAAATCACTACAGCGAAACAAAGTCGCTGAACAAAGCTGAAAAGCAGCACTCATGCTAAACAGTATCCATCAGTTCACATCGAAGATCAACTACTGCAGCTTAACACTATCTCTGCAGTAAAGCTTGTTAAGCTGTGATACACTTGCCATAGGCTGGAACACAAGCTGGCACCACAGCCCAACTTGTCTGTACACTTATTCTGCTTTTCAAAAACTTGATTTATTTCAGGAAACACCATATATGATTTCCTGGTTGGCCTATTTTGGTCTGTTAGTTGCAAACATAATTCGAATGATGGCCTTAGATCTTCATGCATGACAACCTTGGTAAAAAGCACAAGTTCCACTTACAGCAGATGATATTCACAGAACTGACAACTTGAAAAGTGGTGCACTTAAAAAAACTTCCCCCATTCCTGAGAGTCAGACTAAGGCTGAAAACAGCTATAAATTGTACTGTTGTTTTCTGAGTATTTCAGTGTTACATTCCAGGCAAATATTTTACCCTATTTAATGATATTTGAATTTTTTTACTTGATACTTCTTAAAATGTGCCAGTCTTTGTTATTGTTTTGAGACTTCTATGCAGCCATGAATTCTTCTTCATAGAAGCAGCATTATAACCAAGCATCCAAAAATAACTTCTCACCAAAGTAACTTCCATAACTTGAAAACTTTTAAGTTACATAAAAAAGTTTTACATAAAAGTCATATAAAATTCTACCTATTAAGTTGTTTACAAATAATTCCACTGCCTAAAACTACTTAGATGATTTCTGTTAGCTAGGTCATTAACTAGGCAGTTAATTAGAACTTAACTACAATGTAGGCCATTGTGGAAAGCTAGTATGTCAGTCTGACTGTAACTCCATCACTTGTTCTAAAGATGCAGACAACTATCAAAAATGAATTCTGACAGATGCGGCTTCAAACATCCTGGACCTTAAATTTTAGTTTCAAGTTCTCATTCTCATCTCCACTCTTAAGTGTTCACATTGAGTTTTAAGTTCTTTACTAAGGAGTCAGCTGTCTTTGCATCCTGTAAGTAGCTGACGTGCACTCTGACACTTAATTGCCTTGTCAAAACAGCGAATGTCAGTAACTTACTGAGAAGATTTTAATTTTCATGTTTGTATTATCTTCCTTATAAAAATGATATTAACGTTATTGATCAAGCTAGATATTAGCTCATTTTCCTAATCCATTATGGAAACCTGGAGAGCTTCTCCACACTTGTACAGCACCATTGACATATACTGTAAGGTATGCTGTTCTTTCACCAAGAAGGTGTCATAGTAAAACATGAATTACACCGTGTTAACAGATACAAGGTTGTGTGCTACAACACTATCTCACACAGCAGCAGTGATGCTAAACAGTCACACACATCTGCTATATTATACTAATTATTCTGCATGAGATACTTCATGATTACTGGATATCTGCATCCTGAGAAAACAAGAAGATGAACTGGTGTGTAACACACTCAGAACACAACCCTAACTTCCTTAAAGAAGATGATTGTTGGCTTTTCTAAATGTATTTCATCACCTCCCACCAACATCTGTTTTTTTCAATTTGTTACAGACAAGGTGCTGTTTATCGCAGTCAATATACCTTGTCAAACACAGGTTAACACTGTAAGAAACAAAACTCAGTTCACCTACCAAGAGAAGGTAATAATCTCAGAAGCACCTCAACTTTAAGAATTTCTACTACATGTTGCATTATTAATTATCCCAAGTTGTATTCCAGCTCTTAAATCCATATTTCAAATAGATTTTCACACAAAAGGTGTAAATATTTCATGCATCAACTGTCTCTTCAGTTTGTTAATTCAATCACTGACCAAAACATAGTTAACACACTGTCTTTGCTGAGAAGACTTACCTAATATGTAGATGGTCTTTTGATCACTCCTCTCACCAAGCGAATTAGTCACCTTACAGATGTAAGTCCCAGTGTAGTTGTAAGTCAATGGACTGCTGAACTGCAAAGTATTGTTGACAGACAGCAATCCTTCAGGCCACTGTCCATCCAACCTAGAAAAAACAGTTATATTTCAAATGTGAGTCTTTACAACTAGTTGAAATAGAAAAGTTTTAAATAATATCTGTAATAGTCTATAAAGTGAACTTCTCACTGTGCTCTGACATCGTCAGTGAGCTTTTCTTGGATGTTCTCAGTGTGCACCTGAACATTTATTCAGCATTTAATTTCTGTGCCAAATCCTTTAAATGTCAAATCTGCTAGCACTAGCAAGCTGTCTACAAGTGAAGGCTACTACAGCTAAAAAACATTATCTCAAAAGAACTTGAAGGAACAAGCCAACTCAAGCTCTAAAAACTAACAGTCTAACTAAGAAGCACTTATACTGCTGTCAAGATTATATGTCTGTTCTTTTGCATCCGGTTGAGTTATCACAAGAAATATTTCTGTCCATACATGCTTAATTTTGACCAGGACATTTTGACCAGAATTTCTGAGCACGAGTTCAAGCGGTTTCCCACTCTCTTGACCTGCTTTTTTCTCATCCCCCATCACTTTTCCATCCGAATTACAGCACTGAAATGGATAATATTTGGTGGTCATACATTTGGGGAAACAACTGGTTAAAAAAAAATTTGTTTCTAGTCAACTGGCTTTTCCAGCTCTATTATTTCCCTGTACCATTCTGCCTGAGATTGCAGTAACAACTGTGTAAACACAATGAGAAAGGGGAAAGGGCAAAGGCACTGGAACTATTTCAACAGAGCTGCCAACTGCCCATTAAGCACCTGTGCCATTGCATCCCATTTTCTAAGTAGCTATTAACAGCTAACCAGGCCTAAATCAATATGCAAGCATATGCCCACCAGATTACAGTACATTGAAAACAGTTACAAAGTGTGATTTTATAAGCAGCACTGAAGAAAAGCCACCCAACACCTTAAAATAAGTAGTCAATTTAAAACAAAAAAAAAACAACCACTCCACAGTTGACAGTAAAAATGATTTCCAACAAATGTAGGTTGAAGGCAACATTGCTATTACTTTGCTGTGATTACTGCCCAGAATTACCTCAGCCACATTAAAGTTGATAAAAGTGATCAAGCATATACTCCATAATTCATTAGTACCAGAAATATTTATTTCAAGAAACATTATAAACCAGTCCATTTGTTTGCCAGGTCTACGTTAATAAAATTCTCATACATTCAACATTTTAAAGTTACTGACTATGAAAATATCACTATCCCAGCAAGTACAGTGTCATCTTTGATTCCAGGGGATAGAATTTTTTGGTATGGTAGTTCTAGAAGCTATTATAATTCAACACCAGGAATACAGCACACAATTCAACACAGTTTTTGTTTCCTTAAACACTCAAGCTACCCTTCTTCTACATGGATTTCCTCCCCACACACACTCTTGAAGTTCCTCATGCATCACTATTACAGCTTCTTTGAAAGGTTTTGTTCCTGCTCGAAAAGGAACTCGTTTTATTCCAGAAAATTTAGCTTTTGTGTCAAAGTAGGTTCCCTTTTAACCTTAGGAAGTATGAAAGTTACCTCTGAATCTCAAAGTGCTTTAAATGCACTTAAATATGTTTATTTCTTCTGGAATTTCTGACAGAGGTAGTATTGATTAGTTCTTACATATGTCTCAAGTTCAAATAAGAGAACTGAGAACCCAGTGCATCTGAAGAAACAAGTGGTACTGCTGTTCAGCT